CATCAGGTACTATAACAAAACCTGATGATGACAAAACCTTGTCGAAACGTTGTACATTTGCTGTTTTGTTAAACTTATATTAAAGTTTTTCTTCATTGCCCATTCAAGCCGTCTCCAAACATTATTAATCTTCATAATTAATTAACGCTTTGCCGTTACTAGAGTAATAATGATCCCGAAAACTACTCAATATTTGTTTTTCAAATTCTTATAAGTACAGGTTTTGCTTCTTTCCTTTTGTATAAGGACATTTTTACTTAGAAAAGGTCACCACTGAGCTCTACGTCCTGGTACACATGTCATTAATGACGATGTTTTTATTAATCTTAGATAGTCACCTCATAAAAACTAGCGACTATTTAGGTGTGCTTCAGTCTTTGATTGATTGTAATATTACCTAAACTGTATTATTTCCATAATTTCCTTCACTTTAATACTGGTATAAGTATTTTAAAGAATAAATATTAATACACATTGTAATTATCAGGGCCTTTCAAAAGTTTCTTGAAACTAAAGTAGGTGAAAATGGGTAACCATCGTTGTAATAATGTTAATATAAGATTCACCATTAAATTTTGAAGGTAAAAAACTATCAGAAACTGAAAACAAAACTAGAAAATTGTATATGTATAAACGTACAAAATTAGCTTTTTCCTTATTTCCCCCAAAACGTTTTTATGCGCGTGAATAATGAAGATTGTGATATTTTATTAAATTTAAGAATTGTTAATCAATTGTCATATAATAGCTTAAAAAGTTCATTCACTGTGATTAATACTCCATTCATTTTATACATCAAAGCCTCAAACTTATTGGCATTATATATACAGTGTGTTGTGTCTATTCATTCAGAAACAATGAAAGCTTCTTAATATAAATTACGAGCTGTTTAGATTAGTATACAAATAAACTTGCAGGTCATTGTTTACTTGTTGAAACATGTTCGTCATTCCTTGATAATTAGACCTTCTAACATACTAATAAAAGCTTTTTTTCCCGTTAATATTTTATTTCTGATTAAACAGTTACTTCTTTTTTGTTGCATCTATTTTTTCCTAAGATAAGACGAATTTAATACTTGAGAGTAGGGATTAAAAGTAAGGTTTATTCTAACCTTTCTTAC